AAGCTGAGGGACTGACAACCTCAAATTTACGACTTCAAGGGTGATGGACTGATTACATCGTCTTCACATCTCTACTGTTCCTGCCTACTTTCTGTACTCGACTGAAGAAGCCTACTGTGTAGGCGAAACGTTTCAGAATAAAGTTGCCTAAATGTTGCCTATGTGTCTTACCTACTGACAGCAAGTGTCTTAAGGAAACATATCCTAATGTTTCTATAAAGGACTCCAATGGAAATAAGTCACTTTGTCCGACTTTTTTTGGTTATCCCAGTTTCTCTATACATATGCTGCTATATATGATAATGCAACATCCCCCCAATGAAAAGCAGGGGTGTCACTAGCACGTTAAGAGACCATACAATAAGTGTCAGGGGCCCGAGACTGTTCAACTGCCTCCCAGCATACATAAGGGGGATTACCAACAGACCCCTGGCAGTCTTCAAGCTGGCACTGGACAAGCACCTAAAGTCGGTTCCTGACCAGCCGGGCTGTGGCTCGTACGTTGGTTTGCGTGCAGCTAGCAGCAACAGCCTGGTTGATCAGGCTCTGATCCACCAGGAGGCCTGGTCACAGACCGGGCCGCGGGGGCGGTGACCCCCGGAACTCTCTCCAGGTAAACTCCAGGCTATGTAACTGTATTTGTGTATACCTGAATAAACTTACTTACCCGTACCGGGGATCGAACCGCGAATCTCACAGTGTAAGTTGAATGCGCTACCAACCCAGCTACGGGACACCTTACATTGTATACATCTCAGTGACTCTGACATGTAGTTTAATACTACCTGTCTGTCCATTTTTTTTTAAATACCAGGAATACATTCGCTGGTTACCAGACCTCAGTTGGTATCTGGCTCTGCCAGAAACTACTTATAAGAACTACTCTGCATAACTATGAGCTTCAATATGTCACCAGTCTCTGTGTAAATAGTTTATAATGTTGAATTATTATTATAATCAAGGGGGAAGCGCTAAACCCGGAGGATTATACAGCGCCTGGGTGGGGGGATGTGGAAGGCATTCAGGCTTAATTCGGGGAACTGGAGCACAGATCCAATTCCCAAAATCAAGAGCCCCTCACCAACATCAAGGAACCTTCCTTGAGGGGTTATAATGTTGAAATAAACTTGAATTTCCATTTATTTTGCAGTTACCCGGACTCCCGGGTTCAATAAGACCTAAACTTTGGTGACCCTTTACAACCCCAACAACACTAAGCAGTATGTCCAACTCAGCGCTTAACCTCATAGATTTAGCACTTTTCGCCAATCTTCAGAACCTATTTACATTGCGTGGTGGTGCTGTTTTAGCGCTTTATTTTCTCATTACCAAATTTAATAATAAAAAAAATTGAAATCTGAGTATATATGTAATTAAGAAGAGCGAAAACAGGAAAGCTATAATAACTGTACTCACTTAAATGTGTTTGCAGGGGTCGAGTCACAGCTCCCGTGATGATTCCCGTCTTCTAGTTAGTAGACAGAAGACGGGTCCGAGTCGAATCGAAATGTCGAAATAAATGTCAGTCTCCTAAGTGTAGGTTAACCTAAGAACATAAAAATGGAGGAACACTGCAAAAGGCCTACTGGCCCATACAAGGCAGGTCGTCATCAAAACGACCTCTAGCTAAAGCTACCCAAGAATTAACTTCAGTACCCAATGGCACCAATTAAACCCAACCCCTCCCAATCTCTTCTTAAAGCTACCCAAGGTCCTAGCCTCTATCAACCCACTGGGAAGATTGTTCCACACATCTACAACTCTGTTAGAAAACCAGTACTTACCTATGTCCTTTCTAAATCTAAATTTATCCAGCTTAAATCCATTATTCCTGGTTCTTACCTGGTTCGACACCCTCAGTACTTTATTAATGTCTCCCTTGTTTATGCCCGTCATCCACTTATACACTTCAATGATATCTCCCCTCATTCTACGCCTCTCCAGAGAGTGGAGATTTAAGGCTTTAAGTTTATCTTCATACGGGAGGTTCCTTACACAGTAAATCATTTTAGTCATTCTTCTCTGTATGTTCTCTAATGAGTCTATGTCCATCCTGTAGTAAGGGGACCAAAACTGAGCAGCATAATCTAAATGAGGCCTCACTAGTGATGTATAGAGCTGTAAAATAACTTCTGGACTTCTGTTACTTATACTTCTTGAGATAAATCCAAGTAACCTTGAGATAAATCCAAGTAACCTTGAGATAAATCCAAGTAATCTTGAGATAAATCCAAGTAATCTGTTGGCCTTGTTGCGCACACTGAGGCACTGCTGTCTTGGCTTTAGATTTCTGCTTACCATGACTCCCAAGTCTTTTTCACATTCTGTATGACCAAGCTCTACTTCACCTAGATTATAGCTTCGAGGGTTATTTTCATTACCAAGGGCAAGTACCTTACACTTATCCACATTGAACTTCATCTGCCATTTTTGCAGACATTAATTTGCCCAAATCCTCCTGGAGTTCACTGGTATCCTCCTATGAGTGAATTATACGGCCTATCTTTGCTCATGTCACTCGTAATTCCTTCATCAAGGTCATTAATGTAAATTATGAACAAGAGAGGGCCTAAAACTGATCCTTGTGGAACGCCATTAGTGATCCTTATAGAGAATAAACTTTGAATTGAATTGAATTGAATTCAGATTTCACCCCATTAATGGTAACTCTCTGCTTTCTATTGGTAAGCTTCTATCCATGCTGGAACTTGACCTCCTATACCATGAGCTGCCACTTAAGAGTCTCCTGTGAGGTACTCTATCGAAGGCTTAACTAAAATCCAAATAAACAATATCATATTCCTTATGACTGTCAACTGCCACAAATGTTCTACCGAAGAACGTCAGTAAGTTTGTCAGGCAGGAACCACCTCTCGTGAACCCATGCTCAGATTCATTAATCAAATTATGCTCTTCAACGTGACTTCTAATGATATCTATATTTGATTCTAATAATTTACCAACTATAGACGTCAGACTTATTGGACGGTAGTTTGAAGGAACGGACTTATCCCCTGATTTGAATATAGGAACTACATTAAGTACCCTATTGAATTTGTCTAAATCCTCCTGAAGTTCCCTGATAACTACGTTTGAATCAATTATCCTACATATCTTTGTGTCATCGGCGAATTTACTCATATCACTTGTAATTCCTTCATCAAGATCATTAATTCCCTCCCAATGTTTTCACCCGCACCGGGGATCGAACCGAGTGAGTTACCAATCGAGGCACAGGAAACATATAATATGCATTTAGGAGACAGCACATAATGGGTCCAGGAACTGTACCTCAACATTACAGAGGTACATAATGGGTCCAGGAACTGTACCTCAACATTACAGAGGTATATAATGGGTCCAGGGATTGTACCTCGACATTACAGAGGCATATAATGGGTCCAGGAACTGTACCTCAACATTACAGAGGTGCACAATGGGTCCAGGAACTGTACCTCATTAACAATGTTGTTGAGGGACTTTAGATTAGAGTGGGAGATGACAAAAGTTGGGTCAAGGAGAGCAGGTCTAAACTGCTGTGATACCTTAATCACCTAGTTATGGTTACAGGAGTCGAGTCACAGCTCCTGGCCCCGAGTCACAGCTCCTAGCTGTGACTACTAATAGAAGAAAAAACAGAGGGGCAAAGATGCTTCCCTGTGGAACACCAGTGTCCACAGGTCATCATGACGAGGCTGTGACCTTGATAGACACATTGTTGCCTGTAAATCAAGATTTTATGTATGAAAGTGCATGACCTATGATACCCTAATTATCTAGTTTAAGGAGTAAAATGCTGCAGTCTAAGGTAAAATAGGTATCTGGGTGTTAGGTGACTGGTGTGGTTGGCATCCTGGGTGTTAGTGGACTGGTGTGGGTCACATCCTGGGTGTTAGTGGACTGGTGTGGGTTACATCCTGGGTGTTAGAGGACTGGTGTGGGTGGCATCCTGGGTGTTAGTGGACTGGTGTGGGTCACATCCTGGATGTTAGTGGACTGGTGTGGGTGGCATCCTGGGTGTTAGGTGACTGGTGTGGGTGGCATCCTGGGTGTTAGGTGACTGGTGTGGGTGGCATCCTGGGTGTTAGGTGACGGGTGTGGGTGGCATTCTGGGTGTTAGGTGACTGGTGTGGGTGGCATCCTGGGTGTTAGGTGACTGGTGTGGGTGGCATCCTGGGTGTTAGGTGACTGGTGTGGGTGGCATCCTGGGGACAAAACTGACCTAATATGCAGGAAATGCTGTACATAACAAGGAACTTTCTATATAGTAGTATGTCATAGGTGTCAGCTATGGTCTGTATAAGTTGTGTCAGGTACTGGTAGTAATAAATATTATTATTATTATTATTATTATTATTATTATTATTATTATTATTATTATTGTTATTATTATTATTATTATTATGGTCTGTATAAGTTGTGTCAGGTACTGGTAGTAATAAATATTATTATTATTATTATTATTATTATTATTATTATTATTATTATTATTATTATTATTATGGTCTGTATAAGTTGTGTCAGGTACTGGTAATAATAAACATTATTATTATTATTATTATTTGTGGAAAATATTTTAATTTTCCGAAACTATAGTGCATAATAGGTGTTTAATGTGTCGATATGAGTCAAAAATGTATTTGAAAATAGGATAGAACCAAGAGTTCCCTTTGCGCATGCACGGATGTGCGGGGGTAGAGGTCGAACTGGGGCATGGAGGAGGCCGAGTGTTTTGAATGTAGTGAGGAGGCTGGGAAAGCATGGAACCAGGAAATTGGCGTTCACGGCGGCCTAAGTAAGTAAGTAAATTTATTCAGGTATACACAAATACAGTTACATAGAATTATCATACATAGCAGCATATGTGTAGAGAACCTGGGATAACCCAAAAAAATCAGACAGAGTGACTTATTTCCATTGGGGTCCTTTTACCTTATTATTATAATATAAAGGTTGTAATATTTTCTTATTATTCTACAATGAAGATAACATCTTATTATCATACTAAAAAGACTGTCTACTACACGAGGGTCATTAAGACTACTTACTACACGAGGGTCATTAAGACTATCTACAATACGAGGGTCATTAAGACTATCTACTACACGAGGGTCATTAAGACTATCTACTACACCAAGGTCATTAAGACTATCTACAATACGAGGGTCATTACTAGGAATAAGGTAAAATTTACACGTATGTTAGCTAAAAAAATAGAAAATCATTCCCCTCCCTTTCTGTAGCTACATTCATCAAACACTTTTTGGCAGTCTTCTTGAACTGGTTCATGTTATGACTGGCTTTGACATGTGCGGGTAGTCTGTTCCATTCCTTTATTGCTGTACAATAAAAGGTGTTTGACGCCTGGCCACTGACTGTAGGAAGTGTCGTAACTGTTCCTGGTGGAGAGTGAGGGAACGTGATTGACGGGACCACGGTAATAGAGTGGTAAAATGAGTGAATAATGGTAGGACTGGGTGACTGGCGCGTCGCCATGGACTGTGTCCTGGGGAAAATTACCCTTGGTTTAATCATCACTCATCGGTCTCAGATCTTAATGGAGTGACCTCTAATGTGTATAATAATTATGAGACATTAAATCGTCTTGTGAATTGTAATGTAATTAATGATAATAACACTAAGTTAAGAGAATGCGTGAAGTGAAACAAGTCGCCTTGCTCCGACTGAGACTGAACACGCTAGACCATGTTGTTCCTGTCACCAGGAAAGTGAAGTTTATGGAGTCACGACTTCTAAACCGGGACAAACCGACGGATACCTCGTCCTGCTGGAATAAGAACCATGTCGGTGTAGCAGGACATCGAAATGAGATGGTGAATGGAGGAAATAAGGAGCATCAGTCACCCACAGTTAAGTAACTTTTCTAGTTATAGCAGACTGATACTGGCCAGTTAGGTATGTTGTAATTGGATAGGTTATGGGTGATCCAGCTACATCAAGTGACCACCAGAGAATATCTGGTAAGTGGTGGGATTATGTACAAGTGTTTTTTCTTGATGGATATATCCATGTGTAACCTACCCCCCCCCTTCATTAAGTTAAACTAATATAATCTATACAGTCCACAATTAATTAGTAGCGCCGTACTTGAGGGTGCTATCCGATCTATACTGGTCTGGGATAAACCATACCCCCGGCCGGGATTGAACCCGCGGTCATAGAGTCTCAAAACTCCAGCCCGTCGCGTTAGCGACTCTATGACCGCGGGTTCAATCCCGGCCGGGGTATGGTTTGTTTGCAATCGTGTCATTAAGATTTCTTGAGTCTGGTCTGGGATAGATATGGATAAGATAGTGAGGGTCGAGTGGCCACCTGCAGTGACCAGAGGTGGTTAAGTTTTCTCACATGTCACCACGGGGTGACTACGGTGAACAATATAGTTGTTGTCTCCCAAGGTGATTACTTGTATGTATGTAATGTTCAGGTACATGAAGGTAATTACCCCTAGAAAAATTTCCACATTATTATTTATTATTATTATTATTATTATTATTATTATTATTATTATTATTATTATTAATTATTATTATTATTATTATTATTATTATTATTATTATTATTATTATAATTATTATTATTATTATTATTATCATTATTATTATTATATAAATTATTATTATTATTATTATTTTTATTATTATTATTATTATTATTATTATAATTATTATTATTATTATTATTATTATTATTATTATAATTATTATTAATAATTATGATAATAATTAATATTATAATAATTATTATTAATAATAATTATTACAAGTTTGCCAAGGTCATTAAGAAGCTTAATGGACAGTCGTTATTTTATGTTATCCTGGGCCATCTACACTATATAAAATAATTATAATTATGTGTACCTAGGCCTAAATAAACTTAAAGTTTGATGATAGGTTTTTAATGACAGAAAATAGCGGTTTTTTTAGTATTTTTAGCACGAATCTAGCGGAAATTTTCCTAGAGTTGGCAACACTGACAATGGCGGCCGTCAGAGCCCAGACCAAATTTTTATCCACAAATGTCTTAATTAAGCCGTTTTTCAGCCGTTTTTGTGCCTCGGGGTCAGGTCAGGAGGCAGGTGAAGGTGCCAGCCAGGTCAAGAAGGTCAACCAAGAGTCAGGTCAAGACGGAAGTCAAATAAAGAAGGTCGAGCCGGGTGGGTTTGCCAAGTCCTTCATCAAGTACACTCAGAGCTCTAGTTCCAAGGTGTCGGAGGAGGCTCCTAAGCCTACGAGGACATTTTCTTCACTACTCAGGAACTCTAAACTGATCCAGGTCAGATAAAAGACAAAATTTCGATTTTTTTTTTGAAAAATTACGCCCCCCCCCCATTTTTTTTTCAAAAATACAATTTTTTTAATTAATTTGACCCATTTAACCCATGTTAGCTCTAATATTTTTGAAATAATTGTTAATTTACAGGAGTTGATGCATCGGGGGGAATTAGGAGCCACTGGGGTCACTATGTGACCTTGTTACCTGGACTCCACTTGTCCGGGTTCAATCCCCGGCACGGGTGGAAATATTGGCTGGGTTCAATCCCCGGCACGGGTGGAAATATTGGCTGGGTTCAATCCCCGGCACGGGTGGAAATATTGGCTGGGTTCAATCCCCGGCACGGGTGGAAATATTGGCTGGGTTCAATCCCCAGCACGGGTGGAAATATTGGCTGGGATCAATCCCCGGCACGGGTGGAAATATTGGCTGGGATCAATCCCCGGCACGGGTGGAAATATTGGCTGGGATCAATCCCCGGCACGGGTGGAAATATTGGCTGGGTTCAATCCCCGGCACGGGTGGAAATATTGGCTGGGTTCAATCCCCGGCACGGGTGGAAATATTGGCTGGGTTCAATCCCCGGCACGGGTGGAAATATTGGCTGGGTTCAATCCCCGGCACGGGTGGAAATATTGGCTGGGTTCAATCCCCAGCACGGGTGGAAATATTGGCTGGGATCAATCCCCGGCACGGGTGGAAATATTGGCTGGGATCAATCCCCAGCACGGGTGGAAATATTGGCTGGGATCAATCCCGGCACGGGTGGAAATATTGGCTGGGATCAATCCCCAGCACGGGTGGAAATATTGGCTGGGTTCAATCCCCGGCACGGGGTTGGGAAATATTTGGCTGGGTTCAATCCCCGGCACGGGTGGAAATATTGGCTGGGTTCAATCCCCGGCACGGGTGGAAATATTGGCTGGGATCAATCCCCGGCACGGGTGGAAATATTGGCTGGGATCAATCCCCAGCACGGGTGGAAATATTGGCTGGGATCAATCCCCGGCACGGGTGGAAATATTGGCTGGGATCAATCCCCAGCACGGGTGGAAATATTGGCTGGGTTCAATCCCCCGGGACGGGTGGAAATATTGGCTGGGATCAATCCCCGGCACGGGTGGAAATATTGGCTGGGATCAATCCCCGGCACGGGTGGAAATATTGGCTGGGTTCAATCCCCGGCACGGGTGGAAATATTGGCTGGGATCAATCCCCGGCACGGGTGGAAATATTGGCTGGGATCAATCCCCCGGGACGGGTGGAAATATTGGCTGGGATCAATCCCCGGCACGGGTGGAAATATTGGCTGGGATCAATCCCCGGCACGGGTGGAAATATTGGCTGGGATCAATCCCCGGCACGGGTGGAAATATTGGCTGGGTTCAATCCCCGGCACGGGTGGAAATATTGGCTGGGATCAATCCCCGGCACAGGTGGAAATATTGGCTGGGATTTAATCCCCGGCACGGGTGGAAATATTGGCTGGGTTCAATCCCGGCACGGTGGAAATATTGGCTGGGTTCAATCCCCGGCACAGGTGGAAATATTGGCTGGGATCAATCCCCGGCACGGGTGGAAATATTGGCTGGGTTCAATCCCCGGCACGGGTGGAAATATTGGCTGGGATCAATTCCCGGCGCGGGTGGAAATATTGGCTGGGATCAATCCCCGGCACGGGTGGAAATATTGACCGGGTTCAGTCCCCGGCACGGGTGGAAATATTGGCTGGGTTCAATCCCCAGCACGGGTGAAAATATTGGCTGGGATCAATCCCCGGCATGGGTGGAAATATTGGCTGGGTTCAATCCCCGGCATGGGTGGAAATATTGGCTGGGATCAATCCCCGGCACGGGTGGAAATATTGGCTGGGATCAATCCCCGGCGCGGGTGGAAATATTGGCTGGGTTCAATCCCCGGCACGGGTGGAAATATTGGCCGGGTTCAATCCCCGGCACGGGTGGAAATATTGGCCGGGTTCAATCCCCGGCATGGGTGGAAATATTGGCCGGGTTCAATCCTTGGCACGGGTGGAAATATTGGCCGGGTTCAATCCCCGGCACGGGTGGAAATATTGACCGGGATCAATCCCCGGCATGGGTGGAAATATTGGCTGGGATCAATTCCCAGCACAGGTGGAAATGTCATCCGGGTTCAATCCCCCAATGGGTGAAATAATGGCCGGGTTTCCTGACACCTGTTGTTCACCTAGCAGTTTGTAGGTACCTGGGTGCACCTGCTTCCTAGGTGTAAGGTAGCTAACACCCAGGTACCTGCTTACTGCTAGGTGAACACTGACAGCAGGTGTCAGGAAACTCGGCCAATATTTCCACCCGTGCCAGGGATTGAGCCCGAACACTCCGAGGCAAGAGCGTTGTCAACCAGGCCATGGGACACCAGACTCCCAGTTATTAACCTATTTAAGTAATCTTTCAGGATGATAATGCTGGAGGACTTTTGATCCAGGGAAGTGGAGTTAACTCTTCCATTATTGATAATGATAATGATGATAATAGTAATAATAATAATAATAATATAATAATAATGATAATTATAAATATGAATGATGATAATTATGCAGTTCTGTGTTAGGTTTATAATAGAGTATTATAGTGTTTTTTCCTGCTGTTCTTTAACATCATGGTTTAACAGACACTTGGAAACTATGGGTTATAATCATGACCACAATTTTTAAAGTTGCGGAGGGGTAAGCCAGCAGAAGGGCTCAGTCAGGGGACCAAAAGCTCCATCTGTGGGTCATCATTTGACTAGTTAGCTCGAAATGCCTAAGCATGCTAGTGGCCTTTGTAATTAATATTTTATAATATGTAAACCACACATCGTAGGCTTTGGAAGGAAATAAGCATTTCCATTTTTATTTTCACTAAACCCGCATCAGGAAACACTTGTCCTGTTCCTAGCGAACATTATACCTACAGTAGACCGTTGTTTAACATGGTAGTTACGTTCCTGAAAATGCCATGGTAATTAAAACTGTGTTAGACAAACTGAAGAGCTTAAGGGAAAAATAGGGTTACGTTCCTGGGAGTTCCCAAAAAGCCAAAAAAACTTTCAGACCAACAGATCTTACAAAAATAAAAGTGAATGTGTAATTGTAGTTTATTGTCGTGATGTATTATCTTGTTTTTACTGCTTAAGATTACAAATACAACAGAAATAATAGTATTTATTACCTTAAATTGTGGGTGCTGGTGTTTGTGGATGATTGTGAAGAGAGTGGAGAGTTATGTTGTGGTCCTACTGGGCTGAGGTGGATGGTAGAGGTTCTGGTACTGAAGTTGATGGTTGTACTGGAGTGTGCATAAATCAGTCAAGTCAGTAAGTCAAGTCAGTAAGTCAGTCAGGGCAGTCAAGTCAGTAAGTCAGTCAGCCTAGTCAAGTCAGTAAGTCAGTCAGGTCAGTAATACAGTCAGTCAGTCAGTAAGTCAGTCAATCAGCCAGTAAGTCAGTCAGTAAGTCAGTAAATCAGTCAGTCATCACACAAACTCGTATTTACTCATTTACCTAGCAGAGGATGGTCCTACAGACGTACGAACTCAAGGCTGGGACAAGGGTGGTGGAAGTGGTGTGGAGGGTGGTGCGGGTGGCGGGGGATGGTGATAGGTTTCCCCCGTTGAGTCAGTGGTCTAACCCACAGCCAGGCAGAGTGTATCCCATAGGCAACACTCCAATTTTTTTCCCCTCCCGCAAACCGAACCGTGTTAAGTTAATTTTGTGAAGTGTTATACAAAAATAAGCCGCAAGTCTTCAATAGTGCTATAACCAAAATGTGCTAAACAAAACCATGTTAAACGACAGTCTACTGTACCATCATTAGACTTAAGACCCACGTCAGGAAACACTTGTCCTGTTCCCTGACAAACTTTACCTAACCTAACTCAACCCAACCTAACCCAACCTAAAGACACTTGAACACTACTCCCTGAAGAATAAAAAGTCACAGTACAGTAAGTTCTTGACTTCTGAACACATTAAGGACCTCCTGTGTTGTGTATAATAATATATAACAATGATATTATATACAATAATGATAAAATAAGGATATACACGATACAGAAAATTCTCAATGTGTTTGCAAGTCGAGGATTTACTGTTTACCTGGAGAGGGCTTCAGGGGGTCAAGGCCCCCACAGCCTGGCCTGAGACCAGGCCACGTGTATTTAATTAAATGATTAATTTTCAGTTGGGTGATCCTGAAGGCAAGGTAGTGGAGGGCACCGTCTTCCACGTTGTTGAGAACGATCTGTACATCGACTTTGGGAGCAAATTTTATTGTGTCTGTCATAGACCTCAGAGGAACGCTCAGTAAGTAAGCTTTTTTCTACTATGGTGGAATTTGCTGTAACCAATTTCAGGGAAACCAGTTAACCAGCCATGAGGTGGGAAGTACAGTGCCTACACTCTGAAGGAAGACAGTGGTGGAGCAAGTGATGGTGAAAGTGTTTCTTCTTTCTCGGGTTGCCCTGCCTAGGTGGGAACCAGCCAATGTGTTAAAAAAAGTTATGTGATGTAATTTAGTTGGTTCAATAGGTTTATTATACACCCCGGCCCTTGCCCATCCTGTGGGCAATAGGCATATGATTACAGAGGCACATAATAGGCCTAGTTCTGATAAACTGCTGAGGAATAAGACACCTATTCAACACTTGGGTAATATGGAAGTATTTCACAATTTTTAATATATGAAAAATTGATTAAAATCTAAAGATTTAGGAATGTTTACTGTAACGTATTCTCTCAAAATACAGTGGCGCCTCAAGATACAAACAGCTCAAAACTCGAATAATTATGTAAGTGTATTTTTGTACGTGCTTTTGTAAGTATATTTTTGGGGGTCTGAAATGGATTAATCTAATTTACATTATTCCTTACGGGAACAAATTCGTTCGGTAACGGCACTCGAACAGCCTTCTGGAATGAAATAATTTCATATCCTGAGGTACCACTCTGCATTATTTTAGTTTGGCTGAAATAATGTCTTATGGACTTTTTAACTAATAGTACTTTTTTTCATGTATAATTTTGTTTATTTACATTAATGTAAAATACAAATTTATTTTAACACGATACTGAGACTCCTACATATGAACATTCGTGTTGGGAACCTTCAATAATACGAACACCGTCTGTTTTATTGAATTTGTATTATATCTCCATCTGTTTTATTAATTTGTATTATTTACAAACTTTATTATAAACATTATAAACTGATTTCACTTATAACACGTTTACTCACGTATACAGTGGACCCCCGATTAACGATCTTTTTTCATTCCAGAAGTATGTTCAGGTGCCAGTACTGACCGAATTTGTTCCCATAAGGAATATTGTGAAATAGATTAGTCTATTTCAGACCACCAAACATACACGTACAAACGCACTTACATAAATACACTTACATAATTGGTCGCATTTGGAGGTGATCGTTAAGCGGGGGTCCACTGTATTGTATATGTACATGTGTTGGACTTATGAACGACCGTTGCGAACTGAACATGTTCGTAAGTAGGGGAAAGACTGCACATTAATTATACAGAAATGGGTAACGTTTCAGAGCATGTAGAAAGCCTATTGTTATGAAGAGTATTTCAGGCAGTCTTAAGCCTAAGTTAGAACTGTAATGGCAATAGTTATTTGTTTATATATAAGAATATTGAAAGTGTATAAAGATAAATTTAGGAATTATGTTACATTTATCTCTAACACTTCACACATCTGAATTGTCTGTGTAATGTTGTGTTAATTCTATGCACGAGGTTGATGATGTAATGTTTAGCAGAGTGAGGGCAGGTCCAGGAAGTTGTCATCCTCTGGCCTTGTCCAGCTCGCCTATACAGCTTCTCCTCACTTAGCAATGTACAGTGGACCCCCGCATAACGATCACCTCCCAATGCGACCAATTATGTAAGTGTATTTATGTAAGTGCGTTTGTACGTGTATGTTTGGGGGTCTGAAATGGACTAATCTACTTCACAATATTCCTTATGGGAACAAATTCGGTCAGTACTGGCACCTGAACATACTTCTGGAATGAAAAAATATCGTTAACCGGGGGTCCACTGTACTTGTTTATTGTCGACTCGGACTTATGACGGGCTCTCTGACCAGTATTCATACCTAAATAATGTATATTAGAGCTGATTTCCTCTATTCTGTTTATTACAATATACAGTACACTCCTGTATAAACATTTAAAAATATACTAGAAATGTTATAAATGCCGCAGAGGTGACATTAAAACAATATCAAAGATGGGGGGACAAATTCACTGTAATTATAGTATGTTCCTCACTTGGCGATAAATTTGTTTACCGACGTGGTCTTAGGAACGGAACTCTGTCGTTAAGTGAGGAGAGGCTGTATATACTGGCTCCCTCTCGTGTGTTAGTGTGACTTTGTAAATGGTCTAAGTCAGGTGGCCCAGTGGCCTGGTGGCTAAAGCTCCCGCTTCACACACGGAGGGCCCGGGTTTAATTCCTGGCGGGTGGAAACATTTCGACACGTTTCCTTACACCTGTTGTCCTGTTCACCTAGCAGCAAATAAGTACCTGGGTGTTAGTCGACTGGTGTGGGTCGCATCCTGGGGGACAAGATTGAGGACCCCATTGGAAATAAGTTATGCAGTCCTCGATGACGCGCTGACTTTCTTGGGTTATCCTGGGTGGCTAACCCTCCGGGGTTAAAAATCCGAACAAAATCATATCTGTCAGAGTGAAGCATCATCGTAAGCTTCTCTCTCCTACATACAGGTTATGGGTGTAGTGTGTGTATTGTGGGATGACTCGGTAAAAGAGCAAAGTTAGCAAATATAGAAGCTTCACTGTATTTTTTTTTTTTTTGAGCACTGGGCACATCCCACCCAGACAAGGTAACGTAAAAAAGAAAATTGTTTTTTACATTTAGTAATGTATACAGGAGAAGGGGTTTCTAGCCCCTTGCTGCCGGCATTTTAGTCGCCTCGTGTGACACACATGGCTTTCAGAGGAATGATTTTTCACTGTATCTGTATAAACTACTACGTAAATAATGGACTATAATTCACATTCTGCAAGGAAGAGTTACTTTGATGCATGAGAAAGGCTTTTGATTTAAGGAATTTGAGCTGACCTTTCCCTTCCTTGAAGTCAAATCAAATTACACTGTCCCCCCCTAAATTTATATTTATATACCTTCAATATCATTATATATAATTACTCTGCCATTGCAGTCTTAAGTTAGGCTTAACCTTAGCCTAAATGCTCTGAGTAACAATGTACTTTTAGCATGCTCAAAATCAGTCTTCCTTAACCTGCCTTCACAAGTGAGCTACATTTTATGGTCATGTGTGTGATGAGAGCCATACACTTTTCTTAATACAGTGGACCCCCGCTTAACGATCACCTCCCAATGCGACCAATTATGTAAGCGTATTTATGTAAGTGCGTTTGTACGTGTATGTTTGGGGGTCTGAAATGGACTAATCTACTTCACAATATTCCTTATGGGAACAAATTCGGTCAGTATTGGCACCCGAACATACTGCTGGAATGAAAAAATATCGTTAACCAGGGGTCCACTGTATTGTGCAGTGTGGAACCTACATTAAAGTGAATTCATAATATCATGCCTGGGCCACATTCATTTCATAGAAGAGCCACAGGTTGGGGACCCCTGATGTAAAGTGTCGCTCATTTCTGTGTAAACAGTGTATCATAAAATAATTTTGTGTATTTATATATTTAGCAGATAATAATTATTGCCATTGTAGTCTTAGGTTTAACCCTTTCAGTGTCAGTCCCATAATTTTACAGCTTGAGAGCCAGTGCCGGTCCCGTAATACTACGCCAAAATTCTAGCTCCTTCAAATCTGGTGGAAGAAAGCTGGTCGACCTACATATGAAAGAATGGGGCTGCATGGTTAGTGTGCGCAGCATAAAAAAATCCAGCAGCACGCAGTGCATAATGAGAAAAAAAATGACCGTGTTTTTGGTTTAAAACAGCGACTTTGCAGCGTATTTTCGTATGGTATATATGGTTGTATTCTCGTTTTCTTGGTCTCATTTGATAGAATGGAAGATATATTACAGAAATTGAGATAATTTTGATTGGTTTTATGATGAAATTGAAATTGAGCTCAAATTAGCAGAAATGTTCGATTTTTGCCGATGTTCAAGAGTAAACGAATGTCGTCACCAACCGTTACGTGTCCAACTGGCCAGTCTAATACGCAGTTACGAACAGGTTAACAGTATTTATACAATTATTATAATAATGCAGTAGTCTGCATAACAGTAAATCTTCTATTTTTTGTGAGATAAAAATTCACAATGGAAAGCAAGAGTGATATAAGAGGGCCTGGAGACATGACTAATGAACAGAGAAAATTTTATTTTAGTGCCAGGAATGTCTGCCTTGTTTATTCTGGGCCCTATTTTGAAACTGGCATCTTTTGAAATTTGTGTGAAATTGGCCAAATTGCTAATTTCTGACCACTTTATTGAGTAGTTGAAATCAGTAAATGGGGGTTTCTTGTACTCAGTCAATAGAACATATGGAGTTCTAGTGAAATAGCTATGATTTTAGTCGACTGCAACAATGGAATTGGCCAAAAATTGGGCGAAATCGCCAATGTGTAAATATCGCAGTGATCGCTAACTTCACGAGTGTGTAATTTTGTAAGTTTTCCATCAAATTTCATACTTTTGGTGTCATTACCATCGGGAAAAGATCCTCTATCATTTCATAAGAACTTTTTTTTTTTTTTTTTTTTTAAATTTTTTGACAGAGTTAGGATCATGGGTCCCGACGCTGAAAGTGTTGAGTTTGCCAGAAATGATTTTCATAACCATGGGCTTTCTGCATGCACACCTAAAAGTAACCGATCTTTGTACAAATGTTGTATCATGCTGAAAAAAATCTTGTTTGGTCTGGTCTTGTCTGGTCTTGTCTTCTGCAGGTGCTCTATGACCCCTACTGGCTTAACTCTTTCCCTATGAACATAATTTAAGTGGAAGAAATCTAACCTTACTCCTTTTATTTAGGAGTTATGTGAGAGGTGCTCGGGTCCGGCTACGTCTCCATGAACTGGAGCTCTCCACCCGTTTCCTGGGGTCGTCTACAGACATGACGTTACTCGAGGCAGATGCAACACTCCTGGGTTTGATTCATCCACCAAAGAAAACCGAATCAGCCAAGCAGTAGTGTACCCTAATGTATTATATATGTCCAGGTCTCCAACTTACAAAAACCACAAGTTCATCCAAATTATGAACTGTGGAACCAGTTTAAAGGTTTTGGTGCAAACCTTAGTAATTAATACTGTCAAGTGGTTTAAAAGTAGCCTTGAGCAAGTACCAGGACATATTTATTAGAAAAAGGTTCGGTCCTGGGACCTTAATTAGGTCTTAGGAGTGAAACATTTTAATTAATATGTCCTAGAATCTCCACGGGGAAGTGGAACAAAATCCTTCCTCCGTAAGGCATGTGTGTCATAAGAGGCGACTAAAATGCCGGGAGCAAGGAGCTAGTAACCTCTTTTCTAGTATAAAATATTAAGTAAAATTAAGACACACGTGCAACATCTGGGTATCTTTATTATAGACGTTTTCCCATCCAGTGGCTTTATCAATACAAATTCCAGGACATAACTTGAAGACAGTAGGACTATATACTGTCCTGGAATTTGTATTGATAAAGCCACTGGATGGCGAAACGTCTACAATGAAGATACCCAGATGTTGCACATGTGTCTTAATTTCATCTTGTCGGTATTATATACCATTCTTGCACAAAATATTAAGTGTTAAAGGAAAGAGTTATTTTTGTTTATAGGTCATCCTGCCTTTGTGGGATATGGTCTGTTTGTTGAGTAAAAAGAAAAAAATGCCCTAGCATTGGTTCACATGTCTTTTTTTAAACCAGTTAATGTTTTGCACCTGTCAACTCACAGTTTGAACACATCAAACACCCATTGTTTGTACTACATTTTTTATTATTATCATACTGGCCAATTCCCACCAAGGCAGGGTGGCCCAAAAAAGAAAAACTTTTACCATCGTTCACTCCATCACTGTCTTGCCAGAAGGGTGCTTTACACTACAGTTTTTAAACTGCAACATTAACACCTAAAACGAAAAACAAAAATTTTTCCTTTTACATTTGGTAATTTATACAGGAAAAGGGGTTACTAGCCCCTTGCTGCCAGCATTTTGGTTGCCTCTTGGAACAATACACAAATAAGCTACACATAGGAGATAAACTTACAATGATGTTTTGGTTTGACTTGGCCCATTGACTCATTAAAGGTCCAGGTTGGACTCAAATGCCTTCATAAGTGCATTCTCCTATGCAAGGGCTATTATGTATAATTGTTTTTCTTTCTTTCAACACACCGGCCGTATCCCACCGAGGCGGGGTGGCCCAAAAGGAAAAACAAAAGTTTCTCCTTTTACATTTAGTAATATATACAGGAGAAGAGGTTACTAGCCCCTTGCTCCCGGCATTTTAGTCGCCTCTTACGACACGCATGGCTTACGGAGGAAGAATTCTGTTCCACTTCCCCGTGGAGAATAATTGTTTTTACATTGAAAAAATTGGAATGCAATTCGTTTGTAAGTCGGAAGCCTCCTTCAGTCGTGTTTAGTCTCTTTACATAAGTAAAATTGTGTTTTTTTTCCGGTTTCACAATATTGTAAAAAGGAAATATTAGGGACCCACACAAAGGCTCCTTTGTGTAGTGTGATGTTTTAATCTGATTGAAAAAAGTGCAACCTAAATTAAATAATGTGTACTATAATCAGGGTCTCCAAGAGAATTTTGCAAGGTGGAGCAACACTGCGTCGGGGCTCCTGGGGGCAGGCTGAGGGCCCCAGTCTAAGTGCATTTTACATAATTATTTTTCTAAATAAACTAAAAATAGTTGAAATTACCAAAAAAATATCAAATGAAAACATCAAAATAAAACATCTGTGGCTGTGGGGCCCCTTTAGAGATTCACAGCTGGGCCCCGGGCCAGTGTACCAACTGAACCCCCCTCCCTCCCCCATAGGCCCTGACTACGATGGCCTTTCCACGTGCTATTCAATTTTCGATGTACCTTTCAGTCGTATTTACAAAAAAAAAAAAATTGCGCTGTATATTCTGGCTTTATAAAACAACTTACCGCAGCACATGTTTTTCATATACATGTATGTATTTGTGTAGCCAAACATCTACAGTGTAAAGATACCCAGGTATTGTACATGTGTTAAATTCATCTTCATCTTGGTATTGAGCGCCATTGTTATACAGATACTCTCTACTTATGAACAGGTTTGGTTCCGAGCAGTCGTTCGTAAACCCATTTGTTCATCAGTCCAACATATGTACGTATACAGTATTGTACAGTAGTGTAGTGTATGTACATGTATGTATGAATAGTGAGTAAACTAGAAGTATACATAGTTTAAACATATACATGAACACAGGAAAAATAAAAATACAAAAATATATTATCATGTCTATTCTTGTTTCAAATTCAGATTCAAATTCCTTTATTTCCTTGCAGGTTTACAATGTGGTTGACATATTTTAGGAACTATATTTACATAGGTAGTTTACATTGAGGGTTTACAATGATTTGTAGTGCAAAGAGAACCAGTATCTTGCCTTGGTATTTCTCTTGTGATGGCCTGGTGCTTCTTAGCACCACCACCTGTATCACCACTGCCTTTGTGCTTAACACCAGACATATTGGGGATATAATCATCACAAATAATACTGAATTTGTGGAGAGAGCGCAGGCATACATATGAACGATGCTGCTAGAGTAACCTACTGTGTACTGTTTACATCTCGGTGCTTCCCACAAATTGTTCGCATTATCAAGAGTTCGCAACACGAATGTTTGTATGTAGGGGAGTCTCTGTACAAGCCTAACCTAAAATAGCTATAAGTTTAGAGGAAGCACCAAAACACCTACTTAAAGAACTTCACTAGACAATTTAGCAGAGTCAAGCGAGGCTCGGTTGCACAGTGACGATTTTTTGGACTATTTCCTGCTTACCTCTAAAATTAAAATGTTTTGACTAAAATCCATCATAATAGAGGCAAAATTCCTAATCTATTAGATTTTATTACACTCTTCATATATATTTTTTTTAAATATGTGAAATATTAAGAAAATTTGTGCTCGAGGTGCAGAGGTTATGCAACGTGAGTGCAACATTGCTGGTTCTTTATCTTTCTTAACTCTTAAATTGTCCAAATGTACATCTGTGATCGCGTGTGTAGCGCTCCGAATGTAGATCCACGTTCGATTTTACATTCTTATGTAAAAAAAAAACGTAGATCTACGTTCGGAGCGCTACGCGCACAAATGTAGATCTATGTTTGGACAGTTAAGGGTTAAATAATGGCTTTCTGTAAATGTGAGTCACCTCCCTTATAAAGCCCCTCTATATACAGTAATGAATTTTTTTGTAAATGCAATTAAAAATACAATCAGAATTTAATTGCATGTTAAAAGGCCTTCATAGTATGTACTATATTCTATTCATTTTTGGAACCATTTCTTCCAATTATATTTACACAAAATATTACTGTATAGAATGGTTTTACGAGAGTTTGCTGTATGTAAAAAGTCTCAGATATAAAATATAGTGTATTATAATGTAGATTTTTTTTATTGATGTTAATAATAAAAGAAAATTTTGATTTTATAATGATTTTTATATCCAATTCCAGATGTACTGACCAGAAAAATCTCTGAGACTCGGTAATGAGTTCAAGTTGGATAAATTTAGATTTAGAAAGGATATAGGAAAGCACTGGTTTAGTAATAGAGTTGTGGATGAGTGGAACAAACTCCCGAGTAGTGTCATTGAAGCTCAAACCTTGTGTAGCTTTAAAAATAGGTTAGACAAGTACAGTGGTACCTCAAATTTCGCACAGCTCCCAACTCAAACAATTATGTAAGTGTATTTTTGTAAGTGCTTTTGTAAGTGTATTTTTGGGGGTCTGAAATGGACTAATCTAATTTACGTTATTCCTTATGGGAACAAATTTGTTCAGTAACGGCACTGGAACAGCCTTTTGGAACGAATTAAGGCCAAAATTCGAGTTACCACTGTACATGAGTGGGTGTGGATAGGTGTAACCTGGACCTGCCTAGCATGGGCCAGTAGGCCTGCTGCAATACTAATTCCTTCTTATATTCTTCCAGCAAGTGTGCATGAGCGTGTTAGATAGCAGTGAATGGAGACAAACGATTTTTGAGACCTGACGAGCTGTTGGAGTGTAAGCAGGGTAATATTTTGTGAAGGGATTCAGGGAAGCTGGTTAGCCGGACTTGAGTCCTAGAAATGGGAAGTACAGTGCCTGCACTTTAAAGGAGGGGTTTGGTATATTGGCAGTTTGGAGGGACGTCTAAGCTATTGTATCTGAACGCCTCTGCAAAGACAGTGATTATGTATGAGTGATGGTGAAAGTGTTGAATGATGATGAAAGTTATTTCTTTTTGGGTTTTTCTTCCTTTTAGAGTCACCGTGCCTCGGTGGGTAACGGCCAACGTGATGAAAAACAAAATTCTTATGTTCACATGAGACCAGTGAGTCATCAGACATTTTTATTTATTGCACAAGGTGGCCACAAAAACACTCCCTGATTTCAAACAGGTATAATATGAAACTTGATTGTAATAATCTTTCACAGTTAGACGCTTCAGATGCGGATATCACATGAAACGTGAACACCCTGTACATTAGGAAAGGTTTCAGGTCACCTATGTTTCATTAATTGTGTTTATATATACTCTGTTTCTCCCTGTGATGTATTTACTCTCTCACATTTTAATAAATTGTAGCTTTGTACTCATATCTCACTGACAGAAACATCCCTTGTATCCTGTATGTGTTCCTCTGTCCTCCAGACACAGCATTTGCTTCTCTGAGAACCACACTTGTATATACTAATTTTTTCTTAACACACTGGCCATCTCCCACCAAGGCTGGGTGACCTAAAAACAAGAACGAAAGTTTTTCTTTTTACATTTAGCAATTTTTACAGAAGGTGTTACTAGCACCTTGCTGTCAGCATTTAGTAATTTATACGGGCGTTACTAGCCGCTTGTTGCCGGCATTTTAGTCTCCTCTTATGACACGCATGACTTATGGAGGAAGGATTCTTTTCTACCTCCCTGTAGAGTACATGCTAGTTCCCTTTGTTATTTTAATTTCTTTTTAAACCCAGAATGTTAGCAAAAAACAAGGGAGGATTTACCATTTGGAATTTTTGTGTTAGTGGGTTTTGTTTGTACGTCTGGCACTGCACCATCTTGTAATATGGCACTCGGTGAATAAACAGAAGGATGGCATAGTTTTTGTATATCTCATTTGCAACTTTAGTGGCACCTCTAAATACCCATGTGCAATTTCCACAGTCACTTTGTCAAACTTTTTTGGGTTATTCTAGGTAATTTGCAGTACGATAATTGTATTTAAGTGTACCTGTGGCTAAATAAACCTACTTGGTCTCTTTGTATATACAGTGGAACCTGGGTTTTTGTATACCCTAGTTTGTATGTAAAACTATACTTATTCTCTATAAAATGCATTTTTTGTTTATATTTTTGGGTGTCTGGAATGGATTAATTGGATTTACATTATTTCTTATGGGAAATATTACCTAAAAATACATTTTATAAGCAATAAGTATAGTTTTATATACAGACTAGGGCATACGAAAACCCAGGTTCCACTGTACTACTGTTATAATGGATTTGTCTTTTAACAAATGCAAAGTACAGGACCCAGTCCCTGTTCGAGGAGTTATCAATGTTGCTGTCTTCTAGACATATTTCTTTATCATTTAATTTGACACTCTTTCCTATGTAGACTATATTGTCCTATATATGTACATGTGTACATGTTGTATATTGAAAGTCTAGGAGCAGAGTTATAGTTTTTTTAGCTGTGTTGATTTTGTGGCATCTGTCAGCTATTGCCATGTATGCAGGAATTATCACAGTTATGCCTTGGCTGGTGTCTATCTTGTGACTAAAGTTTGCATTATTTTATAGTTCAGTACTTCTTCTTTCAACAAACCGGCAGTATCCCACCAAGGCGGGGTGGCCCAAAAAGAAAAACAAAAGTTTCTTTTTAAGTTTAGTAATGTATCCAGGAGAAGGGGGTCACTAGCCCCTTGCTCCCGGCATTTTAGTCACCTCACGCATGGCTTACGGAGAAAGAATTTGTTCCATTTCCCCATGGTGATAAGAGGAAATAAACAAGAACAAGAACTAGTAAGAAAATAGAAGAAAACCCAGAGAGGTATCGCTATCTATTACCAAGGTTTATACCACAGTTTTGTACTATATCCATCAGAAATTCTCAGAGATATGTGGTAACTTGAGGGAAAACCGTGTCGGGTCAGTGGTTGAGGAAGGTTGGTGTGTGGGGGGGAGGGGAGGCAGCATGTTTGCTTCACATATTTAGTTGATCTTGTTTATGTACTGTTTCCTAGTTTCTCTAGATTGGCTGTTTTTTTTTTCCTCCTTGGTTTTGTAAAATGTACAGATTTAACTGTCATTCATTTGTTATTTTCCATTTTCACTCCATCCTCCATTCCGTTATCACTCCATCCTCCAGCAGCAGAGTGGACGGATTCACTTTCTTTGTTTTTAAACACACCGACAATCTCCCTCAGAGGAAGGGTGACTTGGAAAATGAAATACATTTACCATCTCTCTTTCAATAGCTTTCTTGCCACGAGTGCATAAACATCACACTTCAGATAACCTTACAAATTGTAGTATCCTTGCCCTTTCTTCAGAGTACTGCCACTGTATTTCCCACCTCCAGGACTCAAGTCCAGCTAGCAGGTTTCCCTGAGTTCCTTCATAAATGTTACATTGCTCACACTCCAACAGCACATCAAGTCATAAAAACCACTTGCCTCAGTCATGCCCATGTAACATGGTTCTTCTTTCTTTCAACACACCGGCCGTATCCCACCAAGGCAGGGTGGCCCAAAAAGAAAAACGAAAGTTTTTCTTTTAAATTTAGTAATTTATACAGGAGAAGGGGTTACTAGCTCCTTGCTCCCGGCATTTTAGTCGCCTCTTACAACACGCATGGCTTACGGAGGAAGAATTCTGTTCCACTTCCCCATGGAGATAAGAGGAAATAAACAAGAACAAGAACTAGGAAGAAAATAGAAGAATACCCAGAGGGGTGTGTATATATATGCTTGTACATGTATGTGTAGTGTGACCTAAGTGTGAGTAGAAGTAGCAAGATGTACCTGAAATCTTGCATGATTATGAGACAGACAAAAGACACCAGCAATCCTACCATCATGTAAAACAATCACAGGTTTTCGTTGTACACTCACTTGGCAGGACGGTAGTACCTCCCTGGGTGGTTGCTGTCTACCAACCTACTACCTAGGTGTAACATGCTTATATGAATCAAACCTCTTTTATCCCCTCCCTCCAACCCTTCCTGGGATGACCCCTACCCTTCTTTCCCTCCACCTTAGATTAAAACTCATGATTCACACCCATACATGAGTGTTAGTACCACTATACCATGGTACATTCCTTTTTTTTGTCTCCATTGATGAGGTTCTTAGTGTCCACTGACTCCTCAACGCATTACTTACCTTTTTTCCCGTCATCAGTTCTATGATTTATTTCATCCGCTGACACGTCCACTCTCAAATATCTGAAAACATTCACCTGCTTCATACTCCCTCCCTCTAATATGATATCCAGTCTTTCACTACCAATATTTTTTGTTCCTCTCATCATCTTTCTCTTTCTTATATTCACTTTTAATTTCCTTCTTTTACATATTCTCTCAAGCTCTGTAACTTCTCTTCAGAATCTCCCAAAAGTATTGTCATTGGCAAAATAGCAACTGTGACAACTTCCACTTTGTGTTAGATTCTTTATATTTTAATCCCACACCTCCCCCAACACCCAACTCCATCTATGAATATATTAAAGAACCATGGTGATATCACATATTACTAAGGCCTGCTATTGCTGGAACATAATCTCCATCACTCCTCCACACCCTAACCTAAGCTTCACTATCCTTATAAAAACTTTACTGCTTATAATAACTTACTTTAGTAGGTTGGTAGACAGCAACCACCCAGGAAGGTACTACCGTCCTGCCAAGTGAGTGTAAAACAAAAGCCTATAATTGTTTTACATGATGGTAGGATTGCTGGTGTCCTTTTGTCTGTCTCATAAACATCCAAGATTTCAGGTATATCTTGCTACTTCTACTCACACTTAGGTCACACTACACATACATGTACAAGCATATATATACACACCCCTCTGGGTTTTCTTCTATTTTCTTACTAGTTCTTGTTCTTGTTTATTTCCTCTTACGTCCATGGGGAAGTGGAACAGAATTCTTCCTCCGTAAGCCATGCGTGTTGTAAGAGGCGACTAAAATGCCGGTAGCAAGGGGCTAGTAACCCCTTCTGTATATATTACTAAATGTAAAAGGAGAAACTTTTGTTTTTCCTTTTGGGCCACCCCGCCTCGGTGGGATACGGCCGGTGTGTTAAAAGAAGAATAACCTACTGCCTATTCTATACATTTGCAACATTGCTCCCCCATCTACCCTGTCATATGCCTTTTCTAAATCATAAATGCAACAAAAGGTTCCTTATCTTACATAAATACTGTTTACTTAATGT